GCCAGGCATTTCACATGGATCCAGTGGGCAAACAGGACAGCATGGATGTGTAGGGAAGGTAAGTATCACCCAAAGGGTGTTTTGGGGGTGTTCACTTTAAAGTGTTTAATGGCATCAAATCCTGGAGAAAGCACAGATATCCATTAGTGTTAGATCCCAGCCTTGTGATTGCCATAGTTATGCTGCTGTCAGGAACTCTGTCTCCTCCTTTCTTCCCTTCATTTTCTGCATTTTTAATTCAAGAACGGTATAGGTACAAATTACACTATGTTATAGACCACTTACCAGCATCATTTGTAGCTAATCTACATATATTTGTGGTCTCTGTTAGTCAGCATTATAGAAGAAATACTTTTGAATAAATATTTGTAATAGTATTATGCAAAAGATTTTCTTCAGTAGACTTATTTTCTCTGTTTCTACACTGCACATGCATTAAAATACAGACAAACGTTTATATGGTCTAGAAAAAAAATAAGCGTGAAAATCATTTTTGTACATAAAGCAATATCTGGTCTGGTCACAAAGGTTTGTTTTAATTGAAGTTCAAGAAAACAAGCTGGCTCTCTTAAGCAGTAATCTGTTTAATTGATGATATTCTGTGCTCCTTAGATTGATAAGGGGAAAAACCCCCCCCCCCCTTACATTAATGGTTAGTGGAGAAGTTTTCCTTTAAAGGAGAACTATGAGATGAGTGATTTCCACTCACCTCATAGTTCTAGCCGACCTGTGACAATGAGACTGTCACAGGTCGGCTCAGTAGATCGGGAGGTGAGCGAACAGATACCGGCGTTCGCTCACCTCTCGATCCTGTCACGGCTCTGTGCCGTGACAGGGGAGGGGCTGGATTCCCCCCTCCCCACTCCGATCCGCCAGCGCTGACTGGCTGAACGGACGGGGGAGGGGACTGGTACAGCTGGCTCTGCCTCTAGATGGGCAGAGCCAGCTGTCACTCACGCAGCTGGGCGGATCTCGACATCGATGTTGGGATCCGCTGCGGCATCTCAGTATACCGCGAGCTGTAGCTACAGCTCAAGGTATACTGAGCTTAGGGTAACGGGAGGATGCTAGTTTGTGCCCTCCCGTTACCCTAAGGAGAACTATGGGGAAAAGCCCTGACCCCATAGTTCTCCTTTAACATTTGTGTTCAGTAAAGGGTCCTAGGGCATTGGTGGTGAGGACCATAAGGACCTAGGGTATTGGTAGTGAGTGAGGAGAATGCCCCTTAAATTAGTGGCGAGTGAGGAGAATGCCCCTACATTGGTGGTCTTTCAGGTACCTGAAATGATCATTGGTGTCAGTTGTTACTTATCTGAAGATAAGATGCACAAGAAACTAGAGATGCAACGAAATTTCGGCCGCTGAAACCTCCTTCCCGACCCCGCTCGGCCTCCTGTGTCCTGGACAGATCAGCATGGAGAACCATGCAGGAAGGAGTCAGCTGACACAGGAGGCCGAGCCGGCGGTGTGGGGGAGGAGTCGCTGTCAGCCATGTCACAGGTGGGTAAGTTCTCCTCCCTGCACCACCAACCCGGCCTCCTGTGGCAGCCGAAGGAGTCAGGATGGAGAGTGGTTACAAGCACTCAACAATCTACATCACTTCTGTTCATTCATGATTGTGTACATAGTAACTCATATTATATCCACAGTTTATGAATGGACAGGAGCACTGAGTATAGAGGCTTCCTGTTCATTCATAACAGGGGCTGCAGAAAAAGTGATTGAGGACTCTGTGTCTCTTTTTCTATTTCAAAAGGGAAATATCAGGGGTCTGTTTATACCCCCTATTTTTACCCAGAGTCCCAAACAGTAAAGTAAAATAAGAAATTAAAAAATAAAAGTGTAAAAAGGTTAGGAAAATAATGTTCGGTTTCCGTCTGAGAAATGTTTTATTTTCGATTTCGGTTGCACCTCTGCAAGAAACCCATAGCAACCTCTTGGGGAACCCTGCTTGAGAAAGGCTGTAGTAAAGGGTTTTGAACTTTTAAAAAAGTGTTTTATTTATTTAAGTTAAGTACTTGGTCTTTAAAGAGCATCCCATATATTACATTTACTCTTTGTGTGTTCCCAGCCCCACATATAGGATATCCATACATGAGATTCTTGAAAAACGCTACCATGACCATTCTATACTATAGACATATATACTTGACCCTGTATGTCCTTTTTAAACACAAACTAGCATTTGATATTGTGAAAGTCATTCATTTTAGCCATATAAAGTGACCAGCTTGTGGGTTTTAAAATCTCTTTCTGTGCATGTTATAAATGGTGTGCTATACACTTGTTAATCTTTACTGTCATTTGTGTTTATAAAACATAACATTGTTGCTGCCAACCCACATAATGTCTGTGCTTATTAAGGGTCTGTCTGAACTATGTGCCTCACTGTGATACATCTGTGCTAATATGTTCTGTCTTTAGCCCTAAGCTTGAACGCTCGACTTACACAGGCCCCTAAATTGGGCCTTTTGCAATTAACATTGGCGATCTTTATAATGAAATCACATTGTCATGTTTTTTAAAATTTTCTTCTGACTTTGTTTTAAGACGGAACTGGAGAATATTGAAGTGACACAGGGTATGTCATCTGAGACAGCGGTGACGTTTCTCAGCCGTCTCATGGCCATGGTGGATGTCCTGGTTTTTGCCAGTTCCCTGAATTTCAGTGAGATTGAAGCAGAGAAGAACATGTCATCTGGTGGCTTAATGCGACAGTGCCTGAGGCTTGGTAAGTTCATGCTGTATAGTACAGATGGTGTCTGGTAACTCTTGCTGTGCTGGAGGAAAGTAGGCAGCCTCTTGCACAGTGTACATGGCTTTCTTCTCTAGCTTGGAAAGAGTTAAAGTTCCTTTCCTGTAGGAATACATTGCTGCATTTCACTATGGGAAGGTTTTGACCTAGTTCTAGATCTGCCTTTGATATTATATATTTATAAATCACCTACTGTGCAGCCTTATTATACAGAGCTGAACAATGTGATGAATTCAGGACTTGCAGTCCCCAGTAGGGCCTTCAGAAAGGTTTTATAAAAATGTACAGTATTCTGTGAAATCTAAATGTATTTATTTTATAGAAAATCCATTCTTAGCAGTCACGGCTTATCAAAACTTAGCATGAACTTGTCACAATGAATTAACCTTTTCTGAATGGATTGAACATGCAAAAAATAAATGTGCATTTGTTCAGGAATGGCTCATTTCTACCTTGTTGCCTAACCCAATTCTTCTCTTACACCAAGGCCCAGCCTAAAGCAGAGAAAACTGAAGATTTAGGTGCTGTTATAGTCTGAACTACATGTTAGAAATTGCTAAAGAACAGGTCCACGCTGGACTGATATTTCAGCTTGGCGTAGATGGCAACAGTTGGGATCCCAACGATTTTTTGTATCCCTGGGGTCTATGTTGTTCAGAACTACAGTCAGGAATGTTGTGGAAGGGTTTGGAGCAAAACCTGTGTTTTATCTTCTGTTCATTCATTCAGCTTTATTTCTTTGTAAGGAACAACATCAGTGTTTTAGGATTTTATCGGGATACTCATGCTTAAAGCCACTTCATGAGATAACTGTGTGTTAGTTTTTACCATCCACTTTATCTAATACACGTCGGCAGCACATGCAATGTATTATTATTATTATACAGGATTTATATAGCTCCAACAGTTTGCGCAGCGCTTTACAATATAAGGAAGACATTATAATCACAATGCTAGTCAAGACAAGATGGTAAGGGGGGCCCTGCCCGAGAGGCCTTACAATCTAAAAATGTGCATTTGATATCCTCTTTCCTCAGACTCGAAACACCAGATTAGCAGTTGATATGATTAAATGAATACTTAGGGCAGCTTTATACCCAAATGTTAACATAAAGATGGGTGGACCATTTTGCTGGGATGGATCAATTAAAGAATAATTAGATGCTGGCGTCTTGTGAGCTTGGCCTTATGATGTCTACTGAAGCAGAAAACAATAATGCAGTCTGATCGTTTCCAAAAGCAAGTGTCATTTGGGCAGCCATGAAGAGACACTAGAGTAACATTTTCTTAAGCAACGGTACCATTTTGAACGTTTGGCAGGTAGAATCTGGTTAGTGTGAGCCACTTCACTTTGCCCATTATCACTGCTCTTTGTGTTGTCTTATTTAAAATTGATTAAATAAAGGATGGTTATATTTTAATGTTAAGAAAACAGGAAGGCAGAAAATTTATTGCATGTCACAAAGTCCCTAAACCCCTGTTTGTATGTTTAATTTTATTAACTAAAAAAATAGTTTGATTTTCTGAACCTAGTTACTAAGATATTTATGTCCATCATATACTGCATAGAGCTGATCTGTTTTTTTAATTTTATTTCTACATTCTGATCGTTTCTGATTTAAGAGATGATTAGTAGCTTGTTCCAAAGTAATGAGATACTAATTAATACTTTAGGAAAAATGTTTCCTTTTTAATATGTATTAGCATTCCTTACTTGCCCTTTCTTTTTATTGGAAGATAAAATAACATAACAGCACAATCAGATGCTGTAGTGTCTAGGGTCAATGGCCTATAGGTTTGGTATAATGATATGCCCTTTGAACACTTGTACTGTGTGTTTGAATACCATATCCAAGAAGAAATCTAAGAATACGTTATAGTTTTTTGTTTTTAACAGATGCCATTCTGTAAACTTTATTTATCATTGTGTATTAAAGATATGAAGTATGTGCGAGTCGATTTTGATTAAACCTTTTTTAGTTTGCTGTGTAGCTGTACGAAACTGCCTGGAGTGCCGGCAAAGGCAGCGGGAGCGGGTCACCAAGCCTGCGGGTGGTGGAAAAATTCAAGATAATTTGCAGAATGTGCCAGCTACAAGCACAGCGAAGGTAAGCATAAACTATGTGTAGTCACTACACAGCACTACATGCTCCTAAAGCACATAATATATCTGTACCTTTTCAAATGAGTAGCTCGGCTTCTCATAACTGCTTTGCTTTATGTAGTTTATTAAAGCACCTAACAGTTAGTGTAGGTAGGATTTGACTTAATATACACAATTTGCAACCCTATATTCATCTGTACAAAACAATACATAAGATTTACAGTTGCACAGGAATTAGTCTTTGGCAAATGTAGACCGTAGTAGGATAGTTGACAATCAGCAAGGAGACCTTCTTTTTTTTTTTTGCTTCTCTAAACTTTTTTTTTTTTTTTTTTTTTTTGGCATTTCACCCACCCCAACACACACACACACACACACACACACACACAGATGCAATGCAGGTGCTGGACGCTCACTGGTGACAGACAGCCCCTGCTCTGCAGGCAGTGTCCTGGGAGACAGAGATCTGGAGATCATGTAACATGGCTCAAGGCAAGGCAGGAAATATATCTATCTGATCAGGACTTCTCCAGACTATCTGCAGAGCACTGGAGGAAGGTGTATTGTCAAAGGTTAAATAAACTGAATTAGGTTGGATGCTAGTGGGACTTATTGAATTTGTAGTATAAAGCTTTAGACACTGGTAAAGGATGAAATTAAATCTTAGAAAAATACTACTGCAGTGACCTGATTTTTTTAAAATCAGAAACATACTCTGAGTGATTAAAAGCCAAGCTGGGAAGAGGCGGACGGCAAATTATCATTGAGAAGCCATTATGTTACAGCTCAGTCCCTTGCGAGTAATAGAGTACATTCCATTCCCTTAGATGGCTGTTATTGTTCAGTTTGCACAAGACCAATACCTTTTAAATAAATTCCATTAAATGAAATAGTCCAAATCTCTTCTTCACCTGCCCTTGGAAGATTTGTTATTTTTAGAGTGTGGGTGTTAATAGTGCTGGTGCAGCCTCAGCATAGGGCTACATGGGTAATTAAATCTATTTGCCACCAAGAGATTTACCTACTTGTTATCCATCATCCCTGATTTTAGTGTGTTGCAAATGAGGCTACTGTCAGGAAGGTGTTTGAACAGACCTTCCATAGAAATGCAAGGTTCACTTATAGCATGTTGCACATTGATTTGACAGAGAAGAAAAACATAGGTTTGGTTAGCTTTAGTGGTTAAGAAGAGAAATATAGTAATTAATACAAAAATGCGGAAAGTTATATCACATTGTAAACATTAGAAACAAATATACTTCAAGGAAAACATTACAATAATACAATGAAAATGTGTTCCCACTAAAGATGGCATTACAAAATTGACCTTTTGCTGTATTGAAGACTTCCCTCTCACCTGACTGATCTGCCACACTAAGTATTTAGATGATAAAGGAGGACTCAGAAAAACCTGTCTCAAAGGAACTGTCTCTCTGATAATCCTTGTACATCAGTCATGTAACCAGATTATGAGGCAGTGGGGACATGGCTATACATTCCTTTGTAGCCCTGCTGTGTTCTGGTGGCATCCTCATTGTGGAATTCTTGAATACTATGTAAAGAAGACCTGCTGTTGAGGTAACAGTTGACCAGGGCTCTGTTAGACAATGTGACATTGATTGTGCAGATGTTACATCAGGTTGAGTGGATCCTGAACTTTCATAAATCATCGCTGGAATCAACTAATTATTTGCAATATGTGGGTCTAGTCCTGGATACTGTTCAGGCCAGAGTGTTCTTTTGACAAGAGAAAGTCATAGGTTTGGACCCTCCAGTTCAGAAGCTGCCCTACTCTCCACTTTTGCATGAGGCTCCTGGTCCTGATGCTAGACTCCTTCAAGACAGTTTTCTTTGCCCAGTCTCACTCCTTACATCTGCAAAGTAACTTTCTGATGTCATGAGAAGAATTCTTCTGGTCTCTAGACAGGCCAACTTTGTTGCTGCTAAGCATCAGGCTGTCCCTGGTTTGGTGGCTTTGGAGTCTGGGAAGTCTTTCCTTCCCATCTATTGGAAGATCCTCACAATGGCCGCCAGCTTGTTGGACTGGAAAGGGAGTCCAGGGCACTCCTGTTGGTGAAGGGGATGTTGGAGGGTTTTTATCCCTTAATTAACATCCTAGAGCTTTGGGCAATTTGGTTGTCTCTGCAGTGTTGGAACATCCTACTGGAAGAGGGTCATCTGATCCAGATTCAGTCAGACAGTGCCATTGCGGTGGCATATATTAACCATCAGGGAGGTACCAAAAGTCTCACTTCAGTAAAGCAGGTAGAACAGATCCTGTCCTGGGCAGAACTACACTATCCAACCTTGTCAGCCATGTATATCCCAGACATAGACAATTTGCAGGCAGAGTTCCACAGCTGGCAGTGCCTAAACACGAGGGAGTTGACACTACACCCGGACATGTTTAAGGACCTGTGGGGGATGCTTGGTGTGGACCTCAAGGATCCACAACAAAAAATGGAACAGGTTTGTATCCAGATACAGGGATCCCCTAGTGGAAGAAGTGGATTCTCTGGTGACTGTACATATGGTATGCCTACCTGGTGGGAATCCTAGCAGATGCTCCATGGGCACTGCACGATTGTCAGTATCTTCTCTCTCAAGGACAGATTTTCCATCCTGCCTCTCAGTCTCCAGGTTTAACAGCCTTACTGTTAAAACCAAAGTTCTCAGGGACTGGGGTATATCAGTCTGTGATTCTAAAAGCTAGGAAGGCTACTTCCTGCAAGGTCTATCAATGAACATGGAAAACATACTTCACTCAGTGTGGGTCTTAGATCTTCCACTCTCTCTCTCTAAGCACTCTCAAGGGCAAGTTTTTCTGCCCTTTCTATCCTGTTTCAGAGACCATTGGCCTCTCAATTCCTGATTAAGACCTTTATACAGAAGGTTTCCCAAGTAGCTTCCCCCTGTCTGTTCCCCAATGATTCAATGAGACTGGAAGCTATTTTTTTGCTTGCAATAAAGACATTTCTCTCTACTCTCTCCACAAGGTGTTTTTTCTTGTTGCCATTACCTCTGTGAGGTGCGTAGCTGAGCTTGTGGCTCTACCTTTCAAAGAACCCTTTTTGGTTTTGCACAAGGACAATGTGCGTTGAGGCCCAGGACTTTATTCCTGCCTAAGGTAGTTCTGCCTTTAACTTTAAGTAGGATATTCTTCTTCCATCCCTCCTGTTTAGCTCCAGTTCACCAAAAGGACATTTCCCCCCATTGGCTGTAGTTCAGGGTGTGCAAGTCTATCTTTCTGAAACGCTGATTCCCTTTATGTCATCCCGGATGTGCCTGTGTTGTAGAGTTTTTGCTTCACTTATTGTTCCTGATCATGAAATTTCTCTAATTAAGGCAGAGACAGTTTTACAAACTTGATATCAATTCTAACTTACTCATTCCACAGTTTGGCTGGGGCTGGTTTTTAAGTTTCGCCTTTGCTAAACCGAAAATATTTTTGTTGTCAGGATTTAAATAACCATTTTAAAATGTATGAGATGTCTGTATGTGAAAAATACATACATACAATGTTTCATGTTCAACTCATATTCAGTGTGTAACATGAATGTTGGTCACTGCACTTTTACTCCATTCTTCCTCACATCCATGTTACTGAATGTCCACACTGAGGTATGAAAATGGACAGGAGGGAGCATCTGCACTGATCGTGGTTGCAATGCTTTACTGGCTCCAATGCAAAAAATAATAAACATTTTTTTTTCTTTTATGAAGAAGTGTGCATTTATCATTTTTTTTTCTAAAATGTCAACTTTGCCTTTAATTGTTCATCACATCACAAACAATTATATGTCAGTGATGGTGCCAATTTGCCTTTGTTCATTAAATGGCCTTTCATAATTCCTTGTCTGATTTTGTTTTTCTCATTAGTTTTAATGTATTTACTCTAGTTCTGATTCTGATCACATGTGAGATTTGTTTTGAAAATAACTATAGAAATGCATTATATTTCTGTGCTTGTAGACCCCTGTGGACAATGTTTCTGGTAATCTATCACCAATCAAGGATCCTGATCGGCTACTCCAGGATGTTGATATCAATCGCCTCAGAGCTGTTGTGTTCCGTGATGTGGTGAGTGTCCTTTATTTACATCAATGTGTCATTCGCATTCTATACTTCTGTAAGTGTTAAATGCCTGCATCCCCCACTGTGTGCTGTGGTTCCGTCTGCTAGCCCCTGTGCATCTACAGGACTGAATAGTGACAAAGTGGAAGGAATCGTTGAGCCCAGTAGGTGACACAGGCATTTGATACGGTCATAATGCCACAAGTGTTGAATGCTGACAACTGCTGGAGACTTTACTGCTGAATTTCAATGGAGTTTGGAATCGCAGCCTTCCAAAGAGGTAAATATTAGAGCGTCTTTTAATGAACTATGAAGATTACTATTAAATCTCTGTTTAACACTTAACACTATCCCTCCCCTAAAATGAATCCAGAGCACTTGACTTACCCGGTGAGATTTGATGTTCAACCCTTACCAAAACCCATACATTTTACCCCAAACTTGACATAAAGGTAGTGCTTATAATTAACCTTACCTGAATATATAATCCGATGCTGAAATCTAGCTCTACCCATAACTTCAATATCTTGCAGCACTATGATCTTGGCTCCCAAACCTCCTGTTCTGCCAGGCTTACAGGCCCAATTTTAAGTATGCTTACATTTCCCCTGCTTTGAGGTGTCTTGAATGTGCAGCAGTGAACCAACCTGTAGGAGCTCATGCAATTGTTTAAAATATTAACTTTTCTATGTTGCAAATTTGCACATATGTGATGTCACATCGCCCAAATGTTTAGATTCATACACTTCTTTAAAAGGGAATGAAAGCTTCAACTTAATTGATCACTATGACAGCTTCCCCACATTTGCTTGCATTTGTTTCACTCCATTATTCTTTATAACGCGGCCTTGAGTGAAATGTTACATTCTCACCTCTATTTCTCATGCTTTTTATAAATTCAGTTCCAGGTGACCTCCATATTAGGTCTGCAATACTTTTATTTAATGTCCAATATACAGTGCACAGCCTATATGATGGGAGAGAGAATGCTCACAACATGAGCTCCATAGAAGGATGATGTCCCCTTGTTCACTTCCTACCCCTTATCACTGGGAGGGGGGTCACTTCTGTGTTGTAATGGCAGGTTAATCTAGAAATGTGGTTAGTTACATCAGTGATTGCATGCACATAATATCATATCAGTCTTGATTGTCCCTATTGACAGACTGTTACAGTTCATATGTGTATGGTTATACATTTCATATGTGTTTGGATGTGTGATTCTCATATTCATATCACATACATCTTGATCCCTGAAACTGGTTTTTACCATCAAGTAAAAATAACACACAAAAAAAACACTCAGTCATTCTAGAGTTTTTTTCCTATTTTAAGAGTAAGCCTTTTATAATTTGTATACCATGCCAGCATCTAATGCTATTCCTTTGTATGGATGCCCTGCAGAAGTGCAGATGCTGAACACATTCAGTTATAATTTCCATAATGCTGATTTAAAATTGAAAGTGTAACTTCTCATCCATTTTTATGGCATCAGCTTTTTTTGTATAGTGCAATATAATATATTGTGTGGGCACTTGGACTTGCATTTCTTCTTGTGGCCAGTAGACTGCGCTGTAGAACTAGAATACACAGCTATAGCTATTGTCTGATGTCCCTAGGAAACATCGAGCTGTTTATTTAATTTGCTCTTAATATAAGTACAGTATTCCTGTGGAGCATTAAATAAACAGATGTCTACTGACTTGAGCCCTTTTGCAGCACTTCTGAGCAAGGATTGAAAGTTTTGAGTTAAAGTAAAACTCCAGTCAGATATAAAACACCATTTTATTCCTCTTATATTTATTAAATGGACTTAATGTCATTTAAAGTGTACCTGTCAGAAAATAAAATCTAAGGTGGTAATAAGTAAAAGTGCCGCCATCTGTGCTTATCTTCTGGAGTACTCATCTTTTCCTGAAATTTCTCTCTGTCATCTTTTCATAGTTGAAGCAGAAATCAGGAAGCATTTTTGCTCCAAGCCAGTCAGACTGTACATATTGCTGTTGCCTGAAAACATGTTACATTGACAAGAGCACAAGTGCGAGGTGTTCACGTAGAACTATAGATAAAAAAAAAAAGAATGACATATATGATACAGTCTGTCACTAGCATTAGCACAGCAGTCTTTGTTATTCTAAGTCCCCCTCTAACAAATGTTTTATTACCTCTTCATCCTGCCACTTCCTTTAACAGGATGACAACACTGGCTATTCGGCAGTGAATTAGTGCAGCAACATTGTGCACACTGTGCACAAGCTGGTCTTAAATTAACTTTAGTTTATATGGACTTTAAGTATGTGGCAGACTAATTACACTTAACACTGCTAGAGCAGGTAGAAAAAACATTTTTCTCTTTTGAATAATAAAGGTTTAAAGCAGAACTCCAGGTAAAAATGTTATTATCCCTTTCAGTGGGACTACCGCACTGCAAGGGTTAAGTGCTCATTTTTGCCTAGGGTTAAAAATAAAAAAAAAGTTATACTTGTCGGTCCTTCCCAGGCTTGCTCTTGGACCAGCCCCGGAGCCTATCACCCCCTCTGCTGCAACAGTCTAAGGTCCCTGAGTCATCACATTCTATACACTGTGTATAGGATGTGAGGATACCAAGGGACATAACATTGCTTCTGCAGCAGAGGAGGGGAGAGGCTGGAGGGAGCGGTGTCACAGCTTGCTTGGAGGATCAGGTGAGTATAACTTTGTTATTTTCTACCCTAGGCAAAAATGATCACTTAACTTAACCCCACAAAACCACATTAAACCATTTATAGCAAGCCCAGCTATTAGCTCAGCCCTGTAGCTGTCACTATTGGTGGAGAAACCTATGAATAAAGGCATGTCAAAAAAAGGAAATGCAGTCATTAGAAGAATACAATGTAATATATTTCAGCTTGGCAGTTCTTGGATGTGGCGGCTGCATTAGATTTTTCGTTTGAGGCATTTGTTTCCCTTTATTTTAACTTTGTGATCGTGCCAGTTACACACATCCTGGCCTAGGGTGACAACGCTCACTGTACTGTATTTATTGAAAAGCAGTGTTGTCACCCCGGGGCAGGAAATATGTTCGGTTTACAAACACCTTCCCCTCCCCTCTTCTCCATAACATAGTAAGGAGAGGTGTTCTATTATTCAAAGTGGTAACCTGGGCAGGTTTGATAAGACTGTTTGAGATAAGATTGCAGAGTCTAAAAGACAGCACTTGGCATGCTTTCAATTTTAGTGGAATGTAAAATACCGCAGTATGGCCACTAGATGGAGCAGATGAGCATAGAAAATAAATACTTATTTTCTCTGCACCTCAGCCCCATCTAATGGCCATAGATGCTGTATTGTTGCATATTTGTGGTATATTGGCATTCATCCAGGAAAAAAAAAAGCTAAGAATTTCTATTTTTGCCTCCATTCACACAGAACAAATTTTTATGGAGTTTCCCATACCTGTAGCTATGCAAATTGTTGATAAATACACCATTTTGTGTGTTGACTGCACATGATAATCACTCAGATTATGGTAGGGTGTGCTAAAATGTAAAAGCTCCTAATGCAAAGTAAAGTACAGCAATTCCCCTAAAACAGATGATTGTTACATATATTATGTCTTATGGTAGTCCGTATGGATTTTAGGGTAAGTGGATAGAGAAATGATAGTTGCCAACTGTACCCTTAAAACTGGTGCTTCATAGTACCTACATGGTCAAATATAGAGCCATTTCACGTATTGCACTTGTCAATAAAACAGCCTCTTAACTTGGAATAAAGAGTCAGCTGGAAGAGCCTATTCACAGCACTGCTCAATGGGAATGCACCCAGTTGCACCTTTACAATGCACCTACATGCAGCGCACTATAAAATGTAGTATTGCTCTACCGCGTGCTGTGCTGTGCTAATGGAAATGCTGCAGATGTGATTTTTGGACTTTTGTTGTACACTGGGCATTCCATTTAGGTGAGTGGGCTATATTGGTGCATTGCATGTTAATGGAAAGCCCTGATGGAAATGGGCCCTAATAGCACTGGTAACACCTCCATTCCTACACTTTTATACACTATAATGTACAGCTGCAACCAGCTAATCGATTATGAGAATAGTTGTCAATCATTCGTATTATCGATTAGTTAGTTGGATCCCCTAGCTCTCTCCTCCACGTTGGGAGGAGGGCACAGCAAACAGTGGGTGGGTGCAATAGCCAGCCTGCTATTGGCTATTGCAATTTGAAATGGCCAATAGCAGGCTAGCTATTGCACCAGCCTACTACCTGCTGTATGTACATTCAGCCGCAGTCTGCGGAATCTTGCCACTGACAGCTGCCATTTCCTGGCTGAAGCTATTCTAGCTCCATGTACTTACAATACAATTTAAAAAAAATAAATAAAAGGTGGGAAAGTCATTTTCGATTTTGGCCTGACAAATTCTGCTGCGGGAGGTGCGCTGCTGTGCCGTTCATTTCAATGGCACCCCAAACGCACCTCCCACCCACAGTGTGATCGCCTGCACTGGAACACATGGTACCGCGTCCGCAATGCCGTTTTATTACTAATTCTTATGTTTTCTTGCCTTTGACTTTGGTATATAAGGATTTGTTGACAGCACTGCTATTTGTCTTTTCCAGGATGACAGCAAACAAGCTCAGTTCCTTGCCCTGGCTGTAGTTTACTTTATATCTGTGTTAATGGTGTCTAAATACCGTGATATACTAGAACCTCAGCGAGAGACGGCACGCTCTGCCAGCCAGTCAGCTCGCAACATCAGGCAAGAAATTAACTCTCCAACGAGTACAGGTACGTTTTATTTTACAGCATTTGCCCAGTCAGTGCTGTCTGATTACCTATGGTTTACAAAATAGATGTCAACCTCCACAACCAAGTCCTGCTGAGCATTTCCAAAGACAGCAAGTCAAAAGAATATGTAGTGCTGGGGAATGTTTTAACTTACAGCAGTTTCCAAGGAATAAACATTTTAACAAATAAAAGGTGTAAAAAATAGATTTTTTTTCTTTTTTTTTTTTTACTGAGTTCAATAGAGAAAAGCTGAAAAATAGGGTAACAAATATGAATAGATCAAAAGGTTTCTCTTAACCCCATATTATTTCTTGTACTAGTTATTATTGTTACTCTGTATTGTTACAACATAGACATTGTATATGTAAACCCTGTAACCTTTTCTTTACTTGAACATTTCAATAAACATATAAAAACATCCTGTTTAAAGGCAGGTTCACACCATTTTCTGTACCAGATCAGGTCCGGAAAATGGTGTGAACCTGCCCACAGTTCCAGTGCATTCCAGACCAGACAAAATGAGACATGCAGTATTTTTCTGGTCTGGTCTGGAACGGATTACGCTAGTGTGAACAGAGGCCTGAAATAGTATAGGGACACATTAGGATGCATTTTGGGTCTGCAAACAGTCTGGTCTGGAGATGATGTGGTGTGAATGGGCCCTAAATACCCAACTTAGTACATTACCCTCTCAATAAAAGATAATAACTAAACCTTAATCAGGATCTCTGGCAGCAGACTACTGTAATGGCTGACGTTTCACTCATTTCCTTTCAATCTCACTTCCTGTATAACCATATTGGAGTATATGTATTCCTTTTGGCAGTTAAAAACTTCATAAGCATTTAAATGAAGGGAGACAACAAAACAACTACACTCTCAGGTGAACTTTATTGATGTTTCAAAAGTCATCAACAAAATCACATAACTTGTAGTGCAATGTTGCAAGAAAGGAAACCATTAATATGGTTTACATGCATTCTGAATGTATAGTAACTATAGGGCAGTTAAAGGGCATCTGCAGCTGTTTCTTAATTCACCTCCTTGGGTTGGGTTGTCCATGCTGTTTCTTTGCCTCCTTTTTTGCTTGGCGAGTTGAGGTCCCCATAAGGCCCAGACTTGGCTGTACAACTGGCCACTGAGAGAGGCAGGTTGCTGTCGTGGTCCAGTTCCATATTCACGTTGCTAGGGTTGCTTTTATCATGAATATCCAATAGGCTAGTAAACAAGCCATTACATGTACCTAGGGGGATCATTTATTTTACTAAAATACTGAACTAATATAACATTTCAATGGAACAATCTTTTGACTTTTTGTCTGATGGAGGATGAAGGGAAATGATTGGCCTATAGCAATCTTTCATCGCCACAGCTGTAAACTGTGCATAAGCAAGCCCTTATTTGGCAGTTGCACTTTCTTTAAGCCAGCCCCTTGGCAAGTCAGGTATTTGGGGAAAGTCTCTAAGAAAGAAGGATATAGGGACTCTTGTGTGACTCGCTGCTTGTATAGGTTATGATATACTGCTAGCCAAAACCTCTAAAAACAATCGGACATTCTTGTTGTCTGATAAGGGTGAAAGTATTGTGATCAGTAATGTAAGAAGTGTTGTAGTGGTGATAGGATGGAGAATATAAGGCACTCTGAATGGAATCATTTAATGTGCTCATGCGGATATGTTCAGCATAAATGAATAATGGCATGTTCATTGATGGAGGAATAGGCCACGTTTTGCTATGTTATGTACTGATAGCTGACAGCAGTACAAATCATGATCTTGACGAGCAGAAATTTCCCTGGTGTATATTCTGTCAACATTGACATCATGAAGGCAGTTTTGTCTCCAAAAAGAATCCAAAATAAGCTGCATCAACTGCTCAACCCATAAAGGCGTATGTCCAAATTAAATTTTGGTTTTGTCCAGCAAAGCACTGCGTTTTCGGATCTCCAATTATAGTCATGCTAAAACAATTTTTTTTTCCATCCCTTAGATTACTATAACAGAACTTGACAGAAGGGTACACACGGATATCATAGCAATTTCAAATGTTGAGGCTGAACTCAAAACACATAAAAAAGCAGTTTATATATTTATAAAAAAAAAAAAAATCAAATACATTTTGAAATGCAGCTGGTGTAAGTGCATGACTTGATACCATCCGCCTGTAACATATATAACTGAGATTAAACTTAGGGAGAACATCACCAGGGCCTTTCAGGTGTGGTGCAAGCATGTGTGCTCACAGGGCTGTGACATCACTGCCTCTCATCCAATCAGAGAATGTCTAATATTCATTGATGGAAATACTAGGGGTTTGCTGAATGGCTGCTGTGTCGAGCAGGTTTTCTCACCTGGTTATTGTGCCAGTAACTCACTTACAATCCTGGGATGACAAAGTTCACTTTATATAGTCTACGCAATGTTGTCACCTTAGGGCATGATTACAGATTGTGGCATGTAAGATCCTGTAGTCACTTTCCTGCCTTCCCACTACACCAGGGGTAGCAAAACTCCGGCCCTCCAGCTGTGGTGGAACTACAAATCCCATGAGGCATTGCGAGATTCTCACAGCCACAGACATGTCTCCCGGCGAGATATGCATCATGGGATTTGTAGTTTCACCACAGCTGGAGGTCTGAAGTTTGGCTACCCCAGCACTAAACACATGGCTGCTATCAATGCAGCCCACAGAGGCCTCAAAAGGAAAAAAACATGCTTCTGTTAGACCACAATTGTTTATTACTCACCTCTATGTGAATGTTGTTTGTGTCTGAGCAAAGTCATTTTCAGAAATGACTAAATAAATAGGTTCAGCCTTTTCACAGATTGCAGTTCTTAGAGGCTGAAAGGTTTGAAAAAACTAACATGTCAGGTGCTGGTTTCTCCCCTGAGCCCCTCTGTCTTTTTATTGCATGCAGAACGTCCTGTAAAACTAATGCAGCACTAGTGCCTCCACTCTTTATTTCTCTATACACTCACTTTTCATTCTCTGGCATCCTGTGGGGAGCAGCATTCTGTCTGTGTGAGATGCTTGTTAGGAGGTTTTACATCAGTGGGGAATTTTTATTTTCAACTTGCCTTACAAAGTGAGTTTTTTGGTCAAGCAAAGCTTTCACTGGTTCACCATATTATCCAACATTCCTTTCGTATATGCATTGTAGATGCCTGAATTTAGAGGAAAAGGCTTTATTTTTGTCACAACCATTGTGGTTTCAAGCAAGAAAAAAAAAAACACAAAATTTGACAATAGTCAATAAAGTTTAAAAAGTTTGATTCAGAAGGAATTTTTCCCTCCGTTATCAACCCAGAGAAAACCTCTTCCCCCTTCAGCTCCTACATTTTGTCAGGGCAGAGAGCTAGAGCTACGGATTGCATCTAGAGCTTATCTTGCTGGTTAGGAGGAACTGATCACTGGAAATTGTGCCCCAAAAAAGGCAAACACAAGTAAACGGTCTAGTCACCAGCAATGCCTGTGGTCTCCCTGCAGCCTGTAGCCCTGTATCTTTTCCCATTACTGACTTAAAAGGCCTTGTTCTGCACTGTACGTCTGTGCGTAGGCGGCCAACTTGCTAGAGACATGGGTTTGCTTTCATAGTTCACAGCCTGCAGCAAGGAGAACAGTGAGAAGCACAGCCACGACTTCACTTAATCTCAGGCCAAATATCTGGAGACCAGCAGCCATTGGCACTGGTGCCTAAGGTTCTCATACTGCAGATATACAGCTATGAGGCTCAAGTCAATGGAGGGCCTAGGCACATTCACCATGAAGTGCACTGCTGTTTTTCAGCAATTACCACTTATTAATGTTACTAGTAAGATAGCAAATCTTCATTTTTTTTTTTGTTCAGGTCCACTTTAAATCTGGTATTTCAGCAGCTCTAAAATACAGAAATTCTATTTGCTCCACTTTTATTTAATTTATTTGAGACTGTTAATTAAAGCAAGTGCGAGCAAGCCTGGGATCCCTGTGGTGTTAGAGTGCCAATTATAACTGAGCTTATGCACAAAAATAATTATGTAGTCCTAAAAGTAGCATAATTATGCAATCTCACCTGTAAAAGATTTGTATTTGCCCCTTCTTTTAACATAGCTTATTCTGTATGACTTTGTGACCTCTTACCACTAACTCCCAGGGCCTACAGTCTGCCGATTGTTTATCCTCATGATGAATTTTATACAAACTTCGATAGAGTAGCAGACTTTTAGGGTACCTACATAAAACATGCCATTTTGATGAAAAATACAAACTTTATTTAAAAAATGATATGGTTGAAACTGCGTAAAAATGTATATATCACTGTTCAAATAAAAGTGAGTTCTCTCCAAAATAACTTTCGTACATCTCATTGATTCTCATCCAACTAACACCACTATAACAATGTATGTATAAATAGGTACATTACAGTAACCCCAATTTCCAGGTTTTTACATTTGTCAATATGGGAGTGTTATCCGCTTAACGCTTTTCACAGCAGAACTGCTTCGTAAGGAGCTAATGAGACTTTGCATGGTAATAAGAGAATGATCTAGTCACATTTTAAAAGTTGCCAAAAAGGGGAGTCCGCTGGCAAGCGCAGAGACCAGAATATAAGGGGGTTGCTCCTCAAGCAGGACAATCTGTCACTACAAAATGGAAAGGTGATGATATTTACAGCTGGAAGAGCTTGGCCAATCATATGCAAAAGGAGATGGCGGTGAGCTATGGCAAAACAGGAGAGCTCACCTCCTGTCTGCTGTCCAGTGATGGCCATTTTAAACGTATGATTTTGTAAATAAAGTTTGTATATTTTATTAAAATGGCGTGTTTTATGTGGGTACCCTAAAAGTCCGCTATTCTTTCGAAGTTTTTAAACAATCCATTGGGATGTGGTGCCCTTTGCTGGTGTAGCTCATCTACCTATAGAATGTGATGACCTCACGATGAAAACACATGCTGAATAAACATAATAGTTTTACATTACACAGCCTTGTGGGTTACAGGAATATAAACCGCTACAAGGCTCACTGTGTGATACTGTTGTGGTAACTTTGAAGCTGGAAAACATCATACTGTATATTATCAATGTGACAGGGGGGCAACTGTCAGACGCTTGGAAACATCTCAGCCTCTGACTCTGTCCTCCCCAGGCAAAATAAGTAGGGCTAAATAAAAGGTATAAAAAAAATTGGTATTGGTAATACTGCACATTTATATTAATTGGAGGCTTCTTCTGGTATAAACCAGATTGTGACGATTTTGATTTCAATAGGACTTTCAGTGGAAAACCTATATGTTGGCACTAGAAAGTAGTACATTTAAAACAAACTATATTTATGAGGATTCTTACACTTTCAATTGTTGGACTGAAAGCCATTTGCACACTGTCAGCACAGAGTGCTTGTTCTCTCGCTACACTGCATTTTTCTCCTTCCTGGCTAAAGGGCAGTAACTGTTTTTGTGTCAGTAGGACACATTCATTAATTAATATGCATTGTAAATAGAAGCCATTGCCTATATTTTTCCAGATATACGTTTTTGGATGTATATTCTGTCTTTTTGAGAGCTATTGACATGGTTGGTGAAAGCAGAGATGGCACATACTTTTGGTTTCTTGGCCTAGGTGGGGGATACAGGATGCCGATATCAAAATTGGTTTGTCTCAAATGTATGTTAGGCATACAGTACCTCCTGACACCTAGTCTTTATGGACAGTATGGCCATTTGCTGACATGACAAGATCCACTGGCAGTGTCAACTCAACATGAAGACTTAGGAGTGAATTTCAATGTAGTTTTCCCCCATGCTGGCATTACAAGAAATGCATATTCTGCATATTTCTTGCAGGTGAAAAAGCATTCCATTTTAAACACTCCCATACTCCTTAAAGCCCTTCATACTCAACTAGCAAGAAACTGAAACTAATAGGAGAGCATAGGGAGGCTAGGGGTATCTAGTTTACTAATACAAAACAAGCAGGGATACATAGGAACATATGAAATGCAATATAAGAGCAAAATAAATCAGGCTGCTTGTGGCAGCACATTGCTTGTCTCCACCTTCCTTATGTCAAAATGTGTTCATTGTGCGTTCAGTAGCTAAAAGAGACTTTCATGTTTGTTATGCTTTGTAGGCTGTTAAGGTATTATTTATACCCAAACAGCCTACACTATTGTGCAAGAACCGTGGACCTGTAATCCAAAGTGATGGCCAAATCTGAGAGATATTTGTGGTGAACACAGTTGCCCAACACACATATTGTGTTGGGGTCAGTAGAAATGATCATTCCAAGAACCACATACACTGATGCTGCTTTTGCGCAGTCACATCTTCAAGCTCATGAGATACAAGACAGATACATGATGGCTTTCAAAGTCACTGAGGTCTGTAGAAGTGTTGATCTTGCATAAAGAAGGTTCATTGATAATAAGCAGTTTTATTCAGTTCTTTGTCCAGTGTAATCGTGCAGTTAATAGCCATCCAGCATATACCAGTTTACCCTCTGTGTGTCTCTAAGGTTTGAACCTCTGCTAAGTATGTTCTGTTGAAAACCTTGTCCATTTACACATCCATTAACGTGTATATTGTATGTGTAAATGCCTTGCTTCTGTCCTTTTTCCCCCCTGAATATTGTTAATTTAGTGCTATTTTGCTGTACAAACAAATATGGTCGTCTACTTTTTACAGTTGAAGGATTGGGCACACTTTTGGTATATGCTTAGTATAATATGTTTATTGGTTTGTGTTGCAAACTCAGCTCTCCGCTCATACACTAATAGTAAATTTGAAGAGTATAGTTCACAGCAGTCCTCAATTTTTTTGTCATTTAGAGACAGTTAACCTTTCAGAGGTCAAGATGTTGCTTAAAAGAGAAAGGCACACTGAAACTGATGCGTGGCGGAATGCTACACATGTATGTTATTGTAAATTGCACCATTGGCATAATTTAGTTCCAATTCACTGGTGCCAATATGAACCCTTGTATTTTAAAGTGACTATTGACCCATTCATATTGGTCCATGTCCTTGATATAGCCTAGGGCTAGTGCTGCATAGACGATTAACTGAACAGTATGTTTTATGGTCTGCCACAAAGCCCCTTGTAGGACTTTAAACAAGATTTCATGGCTGTAGGACAACATTGATAACCACAAAGCCAGTATGTCATGTTATAGTATGAGAGTATGCTTTCCTATGTAGTAAAAATAGAATCCTGTTGCGCATACACGTGTTGGAAAAATTCATCTTCTCAGTGAGATTTTTGTGCGGGCAACCAATGGTCACTTACTATGTTATTGTTTTCTGTTTTAGATACACCTGCTCTGTTTCCGGATATCAAGGAGAAAGAGATCCCGACCCCCATTGAAGAACTCCATTTAGAAAGCTCTATTCCTCACACAGACTCTGGCATTGGAGACGAACATATAAGCAGCATCTTAAATGGAACTGATCTTGACATTACAAGCTCAGACATCATGGGTGAATTATTGTCTACATTGTCGTCTGATGTAAAGAAGTCACAGGAAAGTCTGACAGACAGCTCAAGTGATATGCTAAAACCAGCTCCCTCTATATCTAGCATTAGCCAAAGCAAGGGCATCAATGTCAAAGAGATCCTAAAGAGTCTGGTAGCTGCTCCTTTTGAGATGGCAGAGGCTGGACCGGACCCAGTACCCTATCCAGATCCCGCTTTAAAGAGGGAAGCCCAAGTCATTCTTCCCATGCAGTTTCATTCCTTTGACAGGTATACTGTTATATTAAGTATTTTGCTTTTCTTGGTAAAGCCCAATTGTATTTCCCCTATAAACTGTACAAAATGACGTCAGGTTGGATCCACAAAGGAAGCGTCACTCGTTTTTTTTTTCTTAAAGCATATGTCAGGACAAAACCAAAAAACTTGCAGTACATCTTTGCAATACTTGCACATGTTGCAGTGTTTTATCTCTAAAAATCCTACAGAAAAAGATCTGTTGATCTGCAAAAACTGCTCTCTGCTCATAATTTACTCATTATATTGTTGAATGACAACACATGCCTTTTTGTGAACTGAAATTGCAAAACTTTGTGCAAGTCCCCTTTCATATGTGCAGTCCGATCAGATCCACCTGACAGTTTTTTCAGAGGGATCTGTTTGGAAAACAGCGTAACCCTATTGGCAGCCAGATGTAAACAGACGTGTTTATTTACATCCAATTACACTTAAGTCTGTTTATTTATTACAGGTTTGCATTATAGGTTTGCATCCTTCTTGGGTTTTTTGGACATAAATGTGATGGTTTAGAGGTAATTGGATGTAAACAGACACTCTTCCATTCAACTGCCCATAGACCTAACATGGGTCCATTTAGTTACGTTTTTTCTTCCATTGCAAGATGGAAGAAAAAACTTAACTGACATGGATGTCAGAAAAGTAGCATCTGTTCCATTCTTATCCGATTTAAGATAGGGATCTGTTCAGGGATCCCATGCTGATCGTAACAGACACCACCTATGTGAAAGGGGCCCTAGACTTGCTCAACTTTCTGTTGTTAACTATTTAATTCTGCCCATTCTTCTAAACTCCACTGCATAGGGACTAATTGTCCTGTAGTGCAAGATAAGAACTGGAAGAACTCCTTGAGACTCTGTGCACGGAACAGCTCTGTATTTCTGACACAATCAATGGGTATTTTTTTTGCACAAATAGATATAACAATATGATTTCTGTGGTATATTTAACAGAGGGAAGGGAAGCAATAAGAGACATTAAGACATTAATAGGGTTTACATTTATTGCTGCCCTGGCACAAAACTCCTACGGCTAAGATGGGTCTACAGCTAAAAGCTGCTGCATTCAGTGGGAGAGCAGCGGTCTCTCTACAGCCCTCCCTGTGATGTCACAGCTACAGTGATGCAATCAGCAGAGAGCAAGAACTTTGTTGATGGACAAGCTTTGGTGGTGACGCCTTTTTAGCTGGGGCTGGGGAAGAATTAAAAAATGAAACAGTACAACAATTAGTTGACTTTCTGGATCCAACCTGACTTCATTTGCATAGTTTATGGGGGGAAGTGCAATTGGGCTTTAAATGTGAATTTTTTCATCCATATTTTATTATAGAATATTATCTGTTTAGAATCAACAAAAAAATGTGCTCTGTGTAGTGACATGGAGGGGATTTACCCCTTACACTCCTCCTTTGTTTTCTTGTTCCCTATTTCAAGCTGTTTGTGCAGTGCCATCTGTCTGAAGCTTGGTAGCGAGTGCTACAAGTACGGTTATACTCTAGTGTGTATCTCAAGGTTCATACAGTAGTACAGGTCAACGACAGCAGTTGTTTAAAGTGGTCTGACTATTCGCTGGTGTTTAAAAAAAAAGTGACACTGGTGACATTTTTATTAAGCCTGAAAATCACCTTTCATATGTGTTTGGTTTTTTTTTTCAAATTTCTGCTGGCTTTATAGATTTGTGTGTGTCAGGCCAGCTTGGTCGTATTTGACCATTGTCCTGTGGGTCACCTCACTTTAGATTGAACCGAAAGGGTCACTCCGAAGACTGGCCTGATCAGTTGGGAGAAGGTGACCAGATAATAAGGTCAACCAGTGACATATATAAAAGGTCATCAGCTGACCTGGAAGTGATAGAGGGAGCATAATTTTACATGTGAATGTAGTCCTGTCAGTGCAGGACCGGAGCAGCTGTACAATGCACAGTGATTGACGCTTTACTAGCCTTGTGTTTGCTGCAACCAGTTTGTTTTATAGCTTTAACAGTTACATAGGTGAGTTTTTTTTTCTGATGGCTTTGTTTAGAATACATATTTCCAGCAACGGAAAATGATATTACTTTTAAGCCGATTTTAGACTTTACCAAAAAGAAAAAAAAAAGACAAATTAGATTTTGTTTCTGAGTAACCACCATTCAGATACACTACTCCTGCATCTAAAAGGTGAAGCCGGATTAGTTTCTGAGCTATCACTGCAGTTTTCCTTGCTCCAGTATTTGCGGATCAGCACCAGTGCTTGATTTCTGAACATCTGGTTCTCACTCATAGTAATACAGTGATTGTTAGCATAATACTTAGGCTTTTTTTACATTTTATTTTTAAACTTTAAGTGGTGATGGAACCAACTCAAAGCTGTTTTTGTTTTTTAAAGTATTTTTGTTTCATTTGGTTTTAGATTCACGTCTGTCTACACAGACACTTTGTCCATCCTGTGTACAATTCTTTTTTTTTTTTGCTACTTTTTAACTGCTGTACATGTGGTTACGTGCAAGCGAGTAATAAAATACCAGATAGCAAAAAAAAAGAGAAAATGTACATTAAACTTATACAGATTTTTAAGTTAAAAAGTGAATGTTTAAAGGATGTAAAAGTAAAATAAAAAACCTAATACTGACATGTAGATAAAATAATAGATATTATGTTTCAAAACAAAAACTGAGAGAAGGAGGCTAAGAGAAAATAAAAAGATGAAAAGAATATCTAGGCACAAAAGTTGGGAAAAGCTCACTATTCTGAAAGCCCATCTCCGGGCACACAAAAAACGTAATGGGTGGGGGTAGCCCTACTCCAAGAGTAAGTGCTCATTTTTGCAGAAATCATATGGTCTACTTCAACGTAGGGCTGCAACAACTAATCGACTAAATCAATAATTGATGATGGGAATAGTTGCCAACTATTCCCATCATCGATTAGTTGGTTGTAGGTGAGAAAGAGTTTTTTTTATACAACCAATCGATTAGTTGAAAAAAGAATCAGGCAAATAATCGTTAGCTGCAGCCCTACTTCAATGTGCTGTTTGAACAGACAAAGGACAAATGCATCTAAACGCATATGCGTGTAAGCGTGCACCATGCGTGCATCTCGAAGCATAAACAAAGCATATAGCCAGACAGATCTCTGCATAAACACACAAGTGAAAAGTGTGAATGAAGCCTTCCTTCTTGCTGTGTCTTTGGGACAGAAAGTGAAGAGAAATTTCCCTCATATATATAATTCATAAAAATATACATTTTCATTAGATATCCTTCTGAATACCAGTACCGTCTGTTATGACATTTGTTGCTGGAACTAAGTAGACTTAAAGGAGAACTATGGGGTCAATGTTTTTCCCCATAGTTCTCCTTAGGGTAACGGGAGGACACAAACTAGAGTCCTACCGTTACCCTAAGCTCAGTATACCGCGAGCTACAGGTCGCGGTATACTGAGACGCCGCAGCCGTTGCGGATCCCGACGTAGATGACGAGATCCGCCCAGCTGCGTGAGTGACAGCTGGCTCTGCCTATCTAGAGGCAGAGCCAGCTGTACCCGCCCCCTCCCCCGTCCGTTCCGCCAGTCAGCGCTGGCAGATGGGAGAGGGGAATCCAGCCCCTCCCCCTGTCACGGCAGAGAGCCGTGACAGGATCGAGAGGCGAGTGAACCCGGTATGTGTTCGCTCACCTCCCGATCTACTGAGCCGTCCTGTGACACTCTCATTGTCACAGGTCGGCTAGAACTATGAGGTGAGTGAAAAGAACTCACCTCATAGTTCTCCTTTAACAGACAGACTCCAGTAACGCACTTTGAATTTATTCTAAATGGAAGCATCATTTTATAAATATGCTTACTAAACAGTCAAACTTATTTTGCTACAGAAATGATCAAAAAAATGGTCTGTGGTAGTTTTAGCTTGCAAAGCAGAACAGGAACTTGCATATAAGGAAATGTGTATTTTTTATATGTGCATTAAATACACCATGCATTAAAAAAACAGACATGAACTGTCCTAAAGGCTTGTAGTTTTAAAAAACAATTGCTTCAGCTTTATTTGTCCTATCAATGGCTTGCACAGTACAGCTCACTGCTGCTATGTGTTTGCATTGATGCATTATAAATCTGTATTTCATGTGAACCATTTTATCAATCTGCGTGTATTGGAGTCAGGTGTACAGCAATGTATATACACATCCTGAGGATTAAGTGGAGAAATGCGAGCGCAGACTGTAAACAAAGCATCAATCTCTTGTTAGGCTCATTATTGTTCACAAGGCAGCCTGCGAAGTGGCAAGACAGAGATTCAGAGCAGGCTAATATGTTTCAACAAAAGGCACTTCAGTGTTTGTAATGTATGCAGCAGCTCCAGGTACCATGGAATGTAAATGATGAAGTGATATTGATGAAAGGAGGGGATTGAGGTCTCAGGGGGCACCGATGACGGATTGAACAGAAGCGGCCTAGCTCCACACGTAACTGAAGCCTGTCGTCTTCACTGCTCAAAGCCATAATGGGAGGTGGCAGTCTGAAATGAGTTGCCACGGCAAAGAGTATTATTTTTGAAATGCTTTCACACAAATCGCCTGGCCCCCGCATACAACTTAGTTTCATGCTTTAATGTCATCAGGAGGCACAAATTGGTGTGTCTAATTGTTTGCCACCTGCCAGCAAAATGAGCTGCCAGCTTGCCAGACGGGTTTGATTGTCTGTCAGCCATTCAGTCGATTGAGAGTGACAACATCAAAAATGATCCTTCAAAGTCCGAGGCCTAGCGCGGCTTTCAAGGCACCCTTTCCTCACAGAGTGCTATTGGATGACTACAGTTTTCAATTAATTTCTAATACACCCTTCCTGCTGTCTCATCTGTTCAGAAGTACCTATAATTACATAATAAACCACAACATCCAAGTCCTGTCATACGAGGGGCTGTCAGATGACTTGTTAGTCTACAATGACATTTCTGAATGAAATGTCTCTTATTGCTCTGAGACTTTGAAGTATAAATGAATAATCTCACTAGCTGTAATCGCTTTGATAGTATTACTTCTTTTCTTTGGTATCATTTTGTGAAAATTGGGGGTAGTATTACATGGGCTTATGCTTATTAGTGTAAAGATGAACAATGTTTTTTGAAACTGTTCAAAATAACTGCTCATTGGGGCAGTTATTCTAATTAATGTTAAATTATCCACAAAAAATAAAATGCAAACTTCTTCATAAAAGAAAAAAATGTGCATTTATAATTTTTTTTTTTGCTTTGGAGCCAGTAAAGCATTGCAAGCACAACCAGTAGATCATAAGTGCAATGCTTTGGCTCCTGCAGACCCTTCCTCCTGTTCATGCCCCTACCGTAGTAGGGACATTTAGTAACATGGGACTGAAGAACATGTCAATGGACTGCAAGTGCAGTGACATCACCATTGAGAACTACACGTCCCTCTGTCACGGTGGATAACAGGACTTGTAGGTTTCTTCACAGATCCTATCTTGGGGTGTATGGAGGTTGCAATCTGACCACATTTCCTGCTACATGGTCAGAAAGGTAAACTCAACCTTCAAATATACTAGGGCAAAGGAGGGGGAAACTGCAAGCCAAAGCACCCCCTGGTAGATTGAGGCAGAGCATGCAGGGAGTTGTAGTTTTCTTGTCCAGGAGGACTGGCATGTGGGGACTGCATTCTACTAGAGTGCGTCTATTGTATGGCAGGCCTAAAGGAAACCTGCCATATGACAAATAGTGAAGCTGCCATTGCTGTTCTCGTTCTGCAAATGCTAGTTACGTGGCTGTGATGTTCTGTAGATTAATTAGTTTGAGTCATGAACCCAGAACACATGTTGGCTTTCTGATTTAACTTCCTAAATACCCTTTCAATGTCAATCACTCAAAACTTAAGTAGAAGCCAGGCAACTAGCATTTTGCAAAGGTCAGAAATGGCAGCCTATATACTGGTTTCTATCAGAATAGAGAGAAATAGTAGATGTGTTCTAAATATTCCATTCACAAATAGTGTGACATGGCAATCCCACATTTAATAAAGCATTTCAAAAAAATAAGCTGCTCCTGGCAGCTTAATAGAGTACCTGGGGACAAACGAAAGGTAAGTATGTGTGTCTGTAGGGGTTTGCATTAAAGTGAACCTGTTGCCTTGCTCCACGTAGATAAAGCACACATTCACTTTGTTTGATTCCTGGGTTACATTTAAATAACGAATCAATACAGTTTATTATTGCATCGCAGTACCGAGGTTCACAAGCAGAGGTCAGTAAAGTTTCTATTCACTGCTTTCTTCCTGGTGGGATGGAGGAAGCTTCCATGTTGCCACACAGAAGGGTCACAAAGGGGATTAGTTAACTGCTTATTGTATTTATCTGAAACTGTAACCAATACAATTGGATGAAAATGTTAATGCATTTAGGCATTGTTGACTCCTGTTTCTTTCCTCTTCGTGTTCCTTACAGAAGTGTCGTCGTACCTGTGAAGAAACCTCCGCCTGGCAGTTTAGCTGTGAACACAGTTGGCGCTGCCAGCGGTGGTAGCTTAACCCCCAGCACAACGCCAAATATATTCGCTGCTACTGGAGCAACTCCCAAAAGTATGATCAATACTACAGGTATCTGTTCCCTTCATTTCATCTTCCATCCAGAAAGTGTTTCCAGCAATGTATGTCTCACGTACGCTAAGGCTTTGTTGTACAGCATCCATGTTTGTCTACGTTGGCAGGAATACGGTAAAATCTTAGGCAAGTGGTTAACAGACGACGATAAATTCAAACCTTTGTTCATTGAAAAACAAACAAAAAAATCGCTGTAACTTTGTATGAAAGGAAAAAGTGAAATACTGGTTTGGAAATTAATTTTTGAAGCAATAATGACCATCTAATTTCTGCGTAGATGTAAGATCTGCTTTGGAGCTGAAAATCAGCCCGGGCATATAAACAGATGCAGCCCACACTTGGGTTTAGAATTGGAGTGTAATGGAACAGTAAGTCTTAGGTCATGGTTTATGGCGTATTTGCTGCTTGCTCTGTATAGCCTGACTGAGACTAGGCAGTGGCATAGGAACAAGTATCACAGGTAATGCAAATGCCACAAAAACCTTAAAGGAGAAATATAATTTTGATAAAAAAAAAAAAAAATGATTCAGTTAACTCAGGGCATTGCAGTTCTTTGTGGTGCATATTTAATTTTGTCAGTGTGCAGACATAAAGGAGATGCCACCTTTAGTATAGTCAAATGATCAATGTTAAAAAATAAAAAGAAGATTGCATCCCTTTGTAAGTGCAAATCCCAATCACGCACTTCCAGTGTTGTAAAGCCAAGGAGAGTATAAGAGGTTCCATATGTGAGAGTTCTAGGAAATACTATTACTTAAATACTGCTGGTATAGTTGCAGGGAAGAGAGATTCTAAAGTGTAATTAAAACTAGGGCTGGTAATGATTAAACATTTCCTGTTCGATTAATCAAATTTTTTTTTAATCGATTAATTTCGATTAATTATAACGCACATACAGATCCAACTACATTGGCCTATACACATACAGCACAGCAATGAAGTAATAAAATGAACTAGGATCACACTAATCCAGCACGTTATTAATCTCACGTGCCCCACTCAATGCACCCGCCCACTGCTGCTTTCAATCACCAGAAGAGGACCTGATAGAAAAATTCAGGTCCCCCTCTGCTGATTGACAGCAGCAGTGGGCGGGTGCATTAGCTAATTTGCTATATAGCTGTGCAATTGTATGCCTTTCTTTTCTTTTCTGACTGACGGTCAGGCCGCGGCTCCCGATGTCAGAAAAGAAAAGAAAAAAAAAACGATCGCAGGGAAAGGTTTAATCTGCTCGATTGAGCAGATTAAACCTTTCAGGTAAAAAGTGTTTCTCTCCCGGCCGGGATGTGTACTCACCGGCCCAAACAGCTTCATCGGGTAACGAAGGGAAGGGGGAGGAGTCCAGTGACATCACGGACATCGGCGTCTCCGAACTCCTCCCCCCTTCCCTTCATTAGCCGACAGCCACTTGGGGAAGGGGGGAGGAGTCCGGTGACGTCTATGTCCGTGACGTCACCGGATCTCCGACGGAAGCCGGCGGAGAGGTGAGTACTGATCAAAAGAACTTTGATCAAAATAATTAACGATTAATCGAGGGATTAATCGTTAATTTCCGCAGCCCTAATTAAAACCAAAACTTTTGATTTAGTTTTGAGTAGAATAGTGAGTGGTTAGGGTCTCTGTCAGGTTTGTATTACTGTAGATGTAAGATTTGAAGCACCACACCAATGAAAATAGTCCAGATACATCTTTATTCTATTCGGATCAGGGGACATTCAAGTAGAGTAGCCAACACATTTCAGGGGTCCAAAACACACCATCTTCATTAGGGCACAATGAGAGAAATCATGCATGTGGACTACAATCCCTGCAGCTTGGAAATTGTATTGTAATGGGAGTACTTCAGGCTTGTCAGCAGCTGGTTTGGCAGGAAACTTTTTTGTGCTTTATTATCATTGTTACTGGGACTGCAATTGAGGGAGAATCCACCAATGCAGAAATAGATGATAACTCTTCCAATGGGGACACTTGTTCCATTTGGAGAGAGTTCCTCCTGCTTCCTGTTGCATCTACATAACAGGAGGTGAAGGGAAGTCTATCCATTTAATACTGGAGCACAGATAGAAAAAGAAAAACCTGATTGGATTTCACTATTCCATCCAAAATGCAAAGAAAGGTTTTGGCTTTAGTTATACTTTGTGCTCCATTACACTTAATATTAAGGTTTCCTTTGATTGGACAGGTCTTACCACTGATATTATCTTACCTGCTCACAACAGAGTGCTTATTCAGCAACAGTTCTCCACTTCTGTGCAGCTGTACTAGTCTGTCAATGTGGTTATACTGGTAGCAGATTAGTATTATTATTATTATGCATGATTTATAGAGTGCCAATAGTTTTCACAGTTCTTTACAAAATAAAGGAAGACAATACAGTTAAAATGCAAGACAAGATGGTTAGGAGGACCCTGTGAGAGCTTACAACCAAAGAGAATATAAGAAAACAGAGACCTAGATAGTAGGAACGAACAGTAGCTACAGTTGCTGAGATACCAGCACTTCTGACAAGTGCCAGAGATGCCAGGTTACTAGACTAGACCTGCCTAAACTCTTCCAGTATAAAAAAAACATACAGTTAACAATGTAGTACAAAGCTGACCATACAGTGTTAGAATTGCAGCCAAACAAAATAAATACATTAGTGTAGTGTTAAAGGACAACTATGAGATGAGTGCTTTTCACTCACCTCATAGTTCTAGCCGGCCTGTGACAATGAGACTGTCACAGGTCAGCTCAGTAGATCGGGAAGTGAGCGAACACATACCGTCGCTCGCTCACTTCTCGATCCTGTCACGGCTCTCTGCCGTGACAGGGGAGGGACTGGATTCCCCCCTCCTGCGATCCTCCAGCACTGACTGGCGGAACGGACGGGGGAGGGGCGGGTACAGCTGGCTCTGCCTATAGATAGGCAGAGCCAGCTGTCACTCACGCAGCTGGGTGGATCCAGACATAATTGTCGGGATCCGCTTCAGCTGCGGCGTCTCAGTATACCGCAAGCTGTAGCTCGCAGTATACTGAGCTTAGGGTTACGGAAGGACGCCAGTTTGTGTCCTCCCGTTACCCTAAGGAGAACTATGGGGAAAAGCCCTAACCCCATCGTTTTCCTTTTAAGTGTAGTTAGCTGCAGGTTTGAACATCTAACCTACAAGGCCTAGTTAATATCAGAATGCAAGCAAAAAGCAATGGTGTGCCATTTCATGCCGTATGTCATATGCCATAGCAGCCAATGCAAATTATCTTCCACCCCATGGAGAAGACACACTGATCAATAGGTGGGTTCTAATTGTAGTTAACGACTACTGCACTTGGCCCCTTAATTAAGGCCCATGTGTTCCTCATTTGTTGTACCATACTATTCTGCTGTGTGATATCATACATTGTCTGTTTTCTGTGCTATTCTGTGATTCACACACTCCTTACATCAGATCTCCTGCTTTTTTTTATGATGCCATGTGTGCCATTGTGCTGCAATTGATGTATTATTGTCTATGAAACACTTGTTTGTACTTTTCCTTAAATTGAAGTGTTAGTCTGTACCAGGGGTAGGCAAATGCCGGCCCCCAAGCTGTGGTGTAACTACTGTCATGACTGCCAGAGACGGATTTATAGTCTCACCACAGCTGGAGGGTCAGAGTTGGTCTAACCCAGTCTATAATGTTAGCTAAAAAGTTATAGAGGAAGGCTTCTGCTAGGCTGTGTGATTGTTTATTGGCAGTGTACGCTCTACATCTTCCTCTGCATCAGATAATAACAGAATTCTGACTATTTTTTCCTTCCAGCATACCAGTAATTGCTTGTAGCATGTCTTTTGGTTAGATCCCCATTTTTGTATTAGTTAATACATACAGATTTATTACATATACGGATGCTGATGACGATTATATCAGAGTACAGTTACAATGCCTTCAGCTTGATTCATGGTGACTGCAGTGGTGCAGACAATCCGTATATTACTGTGAAAATTTTAGGGCCTACAAAGTGCGTAAATTACAAATACTGATAAAGTGAAGGTTCTTGTACCCCCTTTAGGAGGTTCCTTAATCCCATGCCCAGCCTGTGTAAAGATGTGTAAGCTACAGTTAAATCTGCTTTATTTATAGTTCCTCTCCTCCCATTCCCAACATACTAATTACCTTTTTAAATAAAACATTTCCGTTTGCATTACATACCTTATTTTTGTCCCTTTTTAATATTATCATTGGTTCTGTGTGCTCTGAAAAATATATATTTTTCAGTGAGAGATACGCTGTATAATGCAGTGTGTGTGTATATCTATATAGCCCCCCTTTCTTGGTATATTAAATAACTAATATACTTAATGCTGAAAATAATTCTCGAGAATTTAAGCACTGTAAAGTATTTCTAAGGTCAGAACTTTTACAGGGTTGTTCACAAAGGGGTGAAGAGTTTGGAGAAGGCAGGAGAAGTGAACAATCTAGGACAACTGAGCTAATTTGGAGAATCTTCCAAATCAGCTATGTTGTCCTAGATTGTTCACTTCTCCTGCCTTCTCCAAACTCTTCACCCTTTTGTGAGTAACCCTGTTAGTTATATGTCCCATTGAGGAGATTTTAACTTCTTTCCTGTCTTGAAAGCAGAATAGGAAATTTAGGACATCTTTCCAAAATCATCTCTAAAGCTGGCCATACACCTATAGATTATCTGCAGATTTTCGATGGTTAGATGGAAAAAGTGCAACAGATTCCTCAATCTACGCTAAACTGTGTGGATGGAGTAATCTCCCACTGGACCAAAACACCTGAACAATGCCTGCATCCAATCAGAGTGTTCAGGTATTTTGACAGCCAGCGGGGCCGACTAACAAGATACTGAGGCTTGGCCCAGTAGGAGATTCCTCCATCCACACAGTTTAGCGCAGATGGAGGAATCTGTTGCACTTTTTCCATCTGACCATAGAAAACCTGCAGATAATCTATAGGTGTATGGCCAACTTTAGACAGTGGTCACCATCGAAAGATTTCTCCTCTATTTATATTAAGGGCACCATTTACAATTTTGGATTTTCTCTCACCTCCAGTCTTGGTGACAATTGCCACCAGGTCATCTAGAGAGATGAATCTCACCAGTGGAGAGACGGCAATAAAAACCTGATGTTGGTTTAAAATTTTTTGGGGTTTAGATACACATTTAGGGGTCTTCCGTGATCAAGAGCTGTACGGGCTATTGTGAATAGCCCGTACAGCACCCCCTCGGTTCTCCTGAACCGAAGGGGTCCTGGGGCCGAAGCCAGCCGAAGGATCGGCCGAAGCTATGGCCAGATCCCCCGGCAGCTTTGTGAATAGACCCCTTAGTTTCCCAACCTCCAATATCATCACCTTTTGAAAAAGATGCAAGCTGACTTCTGACTTCTGAAGCATTGGTATAACACATCTGACAGTTCAGTTCTTGGTCTTTCTGTTTTGTAATGGCTGTGCGGGCTCACAGGCAGCCGAAAATATATACAAAGGCACTGTTCCATTGATATTTTTGTCCAGGGACAGCCTGCATCCTTTTCAAGGGACAACATGGTAAAAGAACAAAACAAAACATGCAAATTGAGAAAGCCTTTCAATGGGACCTGCCATTGTTGACTTGTTTTGAATGTAAAACCTCTAAGGCTTTCATTATTTTTCTTCTGTTTCTACTTGGTAGCCGCTGACTTTGTACAAGCATGTCACGTGTCAGGATACCTGTTGTGCATATACTCATGGGCATGCATTAAAAAAAAAAATAGTCTGTAATTGCAAGTTATATATTTCTGCCCCGGTAACTTCCTTTTAAAACTTTTAAGTAGCTTCCTTCATGTGGGTTTTCTATCCTTCCACCCTCCAAGACACTAGGCTTGGTCTGGAACGTCAGCTGCACCATTATTTATACAGTAGATTTATCATATTAACATTATTAAAGGTTTAAAAGCTCTCCTTGTCAATATGTGTGTGTGTCTCACTTGCTGAGATTTGTCTTTGGCACAGGTGCTGTGGACTCTGCTTCTTCCTCCTCCTCCTCATCCTCTAGTTTTGTAAATGGTGCTACAAGCAAAAATCTCCCAGCAGTGCAAACAGTGGCTCCCATGCCCGAAGACTCTGCAGAAAATATGAGGTAAGAAAAGTTAAATTATCCTGTTAAATACACCGATACTTAATAATCACATCACATCACATTAAAGGAAAGGTGAATTAGGTTGGAACCCTAAAGTATAAAAAGGTAAAGGTAAAAAAAATGTTTTGTTTGACTATAGTGTTAAGGGGTTAGAACCGCTGTTATAACTGTCTAAGAGGGTATATCCCTCACATGGGAAAGGTACCCTCTCACTTTCCTTGGAGTCTACAGGACAGGAAATGAAGGAAAATCTCCCTAATGAGATATAGATGGCAAAAAAAAACCTGACAGCAATTTTTACTCTCCCTAACTTTACTTTTTCTATCCAAAAGAAAAAAGATTTGCCCTTACATATGCTTTAATCTACACTAAGCGACTGGGCGGCATATAGAACCTATCCACTTCTGTTTGCAGGATTCAGAGCCAATAGAAGTAGCCTAAATGCTTTGTAATTATGCACACAGCATTGAATGACAGTGGGAAGCTGTGTTTTCAGATTTATCAGTATGACTAAAGGAATTTATTGATGTCAGGTACCCATTATCAATTACTTGTTCCTCCAACCTCCACTCTCAGTACTGCAGGGAAAGTATCTTCAACAAATTGGACATTTTTATCTAGTATTTAAGCCAACGCAATTGCATGGCAATCAGACAGATCTTACCCGTGGCATATATAAGGCAGCAAGGCATATATTTTTGCTTGCCACTGCTGATTGGCTATGGTCCTAAAACTAGCAGTAGGTGTCAATGGCATGAGCATCCTGAAGTTAGCATTAAAAATGTACTGGTGCTAACAATGTATTTTGACACTTGAAGGTTTGATTAGGTTCTCCTCACCATTAGAGGTTTTGGATTTTACATTTACAGATACCAGAAGCTGGCAGTATGTATTTACTGATGCCAGCTAGCATGGCATGACACCATAGCTGACAGTATGCTTGTTCTGATTCGAGAACCTGGCATTGTATTTCTATGTCTTGCAGGTAGCAAAGTCAGACACTGTCCTTTTTTTGTGACACCAGAATCTGGAAGTAAATAGTGTAAAAAATATCCACATTTAAATCTCTCATTCCACACTCCATCTTTCTTAATAGTATAAAAATGAACCTCCTGCATGACCTGTGCATTCATGTATACATAAAATAGAAGACCTATATAGCTGGTTAAATCATGCCGGCATGTCTGACCATCATCTCGGTTCTTTAGCCACCTTCTGGCTGACCATTCACTGGTATTTCTGTACGGACATTCACATGAATCTCATCAGAACATTTGATAACACCATCAGAGACTTGACGACCTTGTTTGAAATTCTAGTTGGTTTTAACATTAGAATATGGCATTGAATGCAGTTGGAAATAAAACCACTTTTGACGGTTACAATTTCATTAATTCAAGATAAATTTCCCCTCCTGCTCCTTCAAATTTTTTTGAACACATTTCTACTGCCAGCTTAGATCTAGGGACCCATCTGCTTTTTACCTGTAGATTCTTAGTAAAAATTTAGGGGGAATGAATGAACTTTAATGGTCAGTTTATGTTGTAGCGGTCTTCATTTTACTACGGGCTCTTTGAGAGAATAAAGATTTGTGGTTTCTTTAATTCCCCTGTTTTGTTTCTGTTACATAGGAACATATGCTAGTTTATGTTATTGTTGACTGCTGATAACAGCTTGTATTATAATTAAAATGTAATTTGCCTGTGTGTTTCCTCTATTTCTGTAACATGGCGACATGTGCAGACATTGAATAATTAATTGTGTACATGATCTCTTTCAGTTTTATGAGTTTCCAGACTGCTAATCCAAAAAAAAAATCACCTGTTTATATATCAATATAATCTATGCGCATTAATCTGTCCATTATTTATTTTTGTCTGCCTTTTTGTAAATTAAATATCTTAATAAATCAAGTAATACTCAAAAAAACGTGATCAGTGCAAAATGCTAGCAGTGAAAGACTTTTCTTCTAAAACTGTGAGTAAATCTTACTGTGTAAATAAGATGAGAAAACCATATGGTCTCTTGTAATTGTGATAACTGTATAAAGCAATATTAACAGTGAAAAACAATTAAAAAAGACTGTAGTGTGCAATCACTTTGTGCAAAGTGGTTGAGGTGATATAACCTCTATATGATTAGACAAACCTCTCAAACAAACAAATCCGTGATCCATTAAATGACAAAAAAGTCCAGTCTAACTTCATGTAGTGATAGATGTAAAACAAAGAGTCTCTGGAGGGTTGATGGATATCCTCCAATTACTTAAACAACGTGCTGGTGCATCAAATATAAGTGCGTGGAAAAACATCAGAGTGTCACACACGAAAACCCCTTAGGCAGTGCTCACTCACCGCATACACATCCAAACTTACATTAAAAAATGACAAAGTGATTGCACACTACAGTCTTTTTTAATTGTTTTTCACTGTTAATATTGCTTTATATAGTTATCACAATTACATACCATATGGTCTTCTCATCTTATTTACACAGTAAGATTTACTCACAGTTTTAGAAGAAAAGTCTTTCACTGCTAGCATTTTGCACTGATCACGGTTTTTTGAGTATTACTTGATTTATTAAGATATTTAGTTATTTACACAGAAAGGGTTTTTAGCGCCGCAAAATCTCCTTTAAACTGCTAGGACTTCTCAGTCTGTATTGTGGCTGCTTTATTCCCTTAATAGGTTACCCACAAGCGCAGATCTACATTTTCTATTCTGTAAATTAGTCATAGGTAGTTTAAAGAGACCTTGTTGCTTGAACATTAGTTACAACAAAAATCTTCCTGTAAGATTATAAGTGCATTCAAGGTATTTTATCTATATTATTTTTTTCTGTAAAAGCCTCCCATGTGTAGACATCCGAAAAGCCTGACAATGCTTGGCATCACAATCTTGCATTTGGTTTCAACTGCCACCAACAGACTCAGAGCTGTCACTTATGTAACACTCCATAGTATTCCGCTTTGCGACTCCTGTGGGAGCTACATAAAAAGTTATATAGAAAGGCAATAGGAGAGGTGGAGGAGCTGGGCCAGCAGAGACAATATAAAACAGAACAGGTAGAGGGCTGTGATGTGCAAGAAGGGAGGGGGCTGTGCTATGGAATTGACACTTCCTGAAGTAGTATAATTTTTTTAACTAGTTCAAAGGCACATTGCAGGTCAATAAAAAAAATCAAATCAAGTAAGCATTTAAAATGCTTGTTTTTTTGTTTGTACTTTTAGTCGCAGGGTTTCTTTAACTAGTCCCAGGGACAGTGGCCATTTGTTCTAGTGCCATTTTAAAACACCACCAGGAATTAGCGGCAACTGCAAGTCCCAGCCTGGGTTTTGGCTGGGACCGCTAGCTGTTGCTGAAATCCAGTACTAGGCACAGAAACTGAAACAATCAGCTTCTGGGCTTCTGATCTTGCTACACAGTGTTCCATAGGTAATCTGTTGCTGCACATCTGCCTGGGAAGTCTGGATCAGTTCTCCACTGATCAAATCAAGATCCCCTCAATGAAGAAAAAAAAGTGTATAAGTAGAAATGAATGCAGTATATATAATATGATTAATCCCCAGGTCCAAGCAATGGCAATGCATATACTTTGTGAGTGTAAAATGCTCACGTAAGTGAACGCAATGTCATTTGGATTTTTAGCGATCGTACTCATTTGTGTCCTCGTCAACCCAACTTGATCTAAATCTTATCAATTTACACAAACTGATTTTTCCCCCCTGCATACATTGCAGTGTAGTTTCGAAAAGGGAATACAGCTCTCCTAAAGTAAAACACATACATTCACTTTGAGCTTTACTATTAAGTTACATAAAAGTTACACTAATGTGATTTTCTAAAATGATATTTCGGGGCAAATATATGAGGGTGCACATATTACGTAAATGCTACATACACACATACAAAATTGCAGGCACAAGGTTTTTATATATTTTTTTAATAGTCATTACTAATAAAATTGAAGGAAATAAAAAATATATGTATTATAATACTGTAGGGTAGACTACAAACATTAAAAGGTATTATGTGAAGAACCAAGACATCACCAACATTCTGGGACACCAGGGGATTTGGGGAGAAAAAAGGCCCTGGGACTCGAATGGTTAACGAACAATGCCAAACGTGGCTGCATCTGTAATTACCACATTATATGACTCCAGTACAGTGTAAGAACAAAGCATTCCTAGAAGTCCTTATGTCTCTTCGTGGATTGCATGTTCTCCCATTTCAAGGTGAATATGGTAATACTTAAATTTACTGATTTCCACCCCTATAATTTTGTAAAGCCATGTCCTGATTTTCTTGAGTTCTATCAGATGTTCTTCAACCTAAAAATGTAAAAATAGAAAAAATACCTTTCCTCAGATAAATGTGGGTGCTGCATTGTGTACCTCCTTCCAAAACAAATATATCTAATGGGGAAGAAGCATGTTCAGTATATTAGGCAAGTCGAAGAAGTCACATGTCCATCTCTGCATGCTTGTTTTGCATTAGATGCTTAAAAGTAGTATTGGGGAGAGTAATACGGTACATACTCTCCCCAATACTTAGAGCTGGTGGGGACACTGCAGCTGTCCCACCACAGCTTTAAGACTAAGAGCTGAATGATCACGTGACCACTGATCGATCAGCTCTCAGTCTATGTACCCTGCAGGGATTTCCCTCCTCTTCTCTGCTCCTCCAGTGCTGGAGCAACAAACGGGGAATGTTTTATTTTTTTATTATGACTCTTTATAACTTTGGTATTTCTGAGTCTATGGCATGTCTATTGCTTGGTGATCTATTTTTACATACACATTTTGATCTTTCCCTGTTATGGTGCATGCAACGGTGCTAAAAAAAATTATTTCAATACAGTCCTTACAAACTGTGGCAAGTTCTATTGACCTCTAAACTGAGCCCAGCATCATTTCAAGAAACAACTGTTAAGCATAAACATATTGCTTATATGGTCACCTTACCTCTAATTTGTATGTTCATGTGGAAGAGCTG